ATCTAGTTTGGACTTTTTGATATACAGTTACTATTATTTAAAAATTTTTTGTCAATATATTTACTTGCAAGTAAGTATTAATTATATGTAAAAATATTGTCAATATTTATTACAAAATTATTTATACTTGTAAAAAAAATATAAATATATAAAACAAGTTTTTGAAAGTTCTAGAGCTACCAAAAACTATCAATTCCTTATACTAGTCTAAATTAAATTATTCAGCTGCCAAATTATAATTGATTAAATTCAAATTTATTAATAAAAGTTTATACTGAAGTTTTGTTATTTGATTCAATTTATACCATTTGGCACTTAAAAAATATATAATAATTTGGCAAAAAAAATATAATATTTGGCAAAAATAATCATTTAACAATAAAATTCTTTAACAATAAAATCATTTGGCAAAAAAATATTTTTAAATAAAAAATATTTGGCAATAAAGTTATAACATTTTGTAATAAAAATTATAGCATTCAGAATATAGTTCCGAAAATTGGAATTGAATAGAATCGAACAGAATCGCATAAGGTTTGGAACACTATTAAAAATGATGGTGGGGTATACTCCACCTATTAAATTTAATATAAACTTGAGAATCGAATACAGAATCGAAGAGAATCATTAGGATCTTTAATTCAAAATAAATTTTATTATTTAACTATAAAGTTGACAAAATAATTTAGCATTATATACTTCAGTAAAATCAAATTGTATATTTTCAATAAAAAAATTGTATTTATAATAATATTTGGCAAAATTTAATTAATATTTAATAAATTTATTAAAAATGTAAAAAATATAAAATTTGAAATAATTATTTGCTAGTTATTTATTAATTATTTGCTTATTATTCATTAATTAATTATTTGGTAATTGCCTGCTCATTATTTACTAATTATTTGCTTATTATTTACTAAATTCCTCTTCCATTTCTTTATCTGAATCTTCCTATTCATAATCGTCTTTTTTTTTTGCTGATTTTTCCATGGCCCTTGTAACTCTCGAAGATTTTATAATACCTAATTTTCTTTGTTTTGGAGTGTTTTTTTATAGTTTTTGTATTTTTTGTACTTTTTGTGCTTCTTATAATTTTTTTTTAATTTTCTCTTTTAATATTGTTTTCTAATTTTACATATTTATACACTTTTTTCAATTTGATGTTTCTTTTCTCTAAATACATAAGTTATTTCTTATAATTAGATATTCTTTATCTTTCATATTTTTTTATCAATCGTTTATTTTTTTTTACTTATTTTTGTTTTTTCTTTTTTATTCTTTTATTTACAAGTCTAACTCAGCAAGTTTTCAGGTAGGTTATATTATAACAATAAGATTTGATATAGTTTCATTTATAAGTCGATTGAAATGATTAAATTGACTTTGAATACTCATCCAAATTTGCTAATAAATCTTTTAATTATAAAATAATTAGTAATAAATCATAAAATAATTTATTAAAAAATACTTTATCAGAATGCTAACTATAGTTATATATGTTTATTCTTCTCTTATTGTTATTTTTGAATCAATTTTACTTTCTTCAGCCAAATGGACTCTTGGTTTTTTAACTATATCAATTAGTTCCTTCTAATATCTTGCAATATTCTTGAACTTTTTGTTAATAAGTAACTATATACTTTTAATTTTTCGTATTCTTTTCTTTATTATTTGATAAAAATTAATACAAGTAATATAATATAATATCAATTAATTTTATCTCATTTAATTAGCTATTTGTATATAAGCAATGATTGTTTATATTTAGTTTTTCTGTTTGTATTTTTTGATGTCTTCTTCTTTGATATCAATATAAAGCACCTAACCAATCATTTAGCTGCTTTCATGATGGATTAAAATGAGAAACCATTAATTTTAATAATTTGAATATTAACTTGCTTAATATTTTTTTATTTGTATCACTTGAATAAACTTTGTCTACTCTTAGTTGAAGTTCTTTAGAAATAGTTTTCATTAGAACCTTTATTTCAGCTTTTGTCTCATTTTCTTTTTTATTAGAAACAGTTTTTAAAGATTTAATCACTTCTATTACTTTGTCTTTTTCAACATCTTTATCTTTTTTTTTAGGCTGAATTCTTTGGCTCTTTAATATATTTGATATATTTTCAGAATCTAAAATTATATATTCCATTTTAGTTTCAGACACAGATTTGGATTAGTATTTAGATTTGGATTGGTATTTAAGTTCAGATTGATATTCAGGTTCAGGTTGATTTTAAGATTCAGGTTGGTTTTGAGGTTTGGATATCACATTTGTAGTTTTTATAACTACTATTGGCTGTAATACTATTTATGCAGTTTTAATTATTTATTTTCTTTTTTTAGATATTTAATATACTTCTTTTGCTAATTTTATTTGTTAGAAAATATTCTATTTATATATTTAATTGTAACTAATTGTGTTTTCAAATTGGCATTTGCTTTTTTTAATTTATTTACCTTTGTATATAATTCTTTATTTTCTAAATAAATCGACAAATTAATAAAAATAGATTTTATAATTCAAAAATAATTTAAATTATATATTTTTCTATTTCCTCTTGAATTTGAGTCACAAACTTTAATTCAGAAATCAATACTTGTGCAACCTCAGTTAAGCTTTCAGATAATGAAAGAAATGGCCTTCTTTTAAACAATTTAGTTGCTATTATAGGAATTGAACCTTTTATACTAGTGGTTGTTGCATGCTCTTCTGTATAGCAAATAAAAATGAATATTGAAATTGTAAAAAATGTTTTGAAGATTGTAAAAGTAATGAATATTGTGACTTTTTCTATAAATATTTTTATCAGATGGTTTTTTTTTGTTGTTTAAATATTTCAGCAAAAATTAATTTTAATTAAATTAATAAAATATTTATATAATATTTTATGTATTGTTTTATCATATAATTTGACATTTATTATATCATTATTTGTATTATTTTGTATTATTATAATTTTTTATTTAGTATTTTTATATTAAAAATTTATTATTTGATATTGTTATATTTAAATTTGTCATATTATATTTGTTACTTAGTCTTATTAAATAAAAATTTGTTATATTATAGACAGGAGTTTTTCCAAATTTGGATAATGCAGATCATGCTAACATGGCTATTAACATTTGAGTTTACAAATTTGTCCTGTCTTATTTGGGCTCAAAATTGACGTGATTCAACAATAAAACCAGGACGTATACAAAGTTTATGTATTTCACTTTCATTATAGCCTATTATATTAAAAAGATTAATATGCAATTTCAAAAACTTTGTATAATTACATGCTACAATTTCCCAGTATCATTGTGAAGGTATAGCAAGAACTAAAAATTTAAGTATTTTATTAATTTTTTCAATATTGCATTATAGCCTTAATACTGATTTGAAAGTTTAGAGCATGAAATTACAATTCTTTTTAAATCAACTTATAAATTTCAGGTTTTAATCATAATCTTTGATCTTCCTTATTAATTTCAATTAATCAGTAAATAGGATATCATCATGCAAACCAAATTGATACAAATGTTAGTCTAGCAGCAAGTCTTAATGAAGGCCTATTAAAACGAACTCCAGTATGAAAGTTAATAATAGCTTGTAAATACAAAAAAATTTGTTCATACTTTAACCTAAATATGGAATTTATTTGATTCTGTACCCATTTTAAATAACCTTTAACAGAAGATTTTTTTTCAAAAATAATGTATGGTCACATTAACTCTAATGCCATTGCATGTTAATATATATTACATATAGAGTCCCATGACTTATGATAATCTGAACATTTTTTAAAAAACTGTAGTTGGTTTTTAGTTCGATACCCTTGACCTTAAGCAAAATCTTTTATATCAATATCTCAATTTAGTTCGACAAATGCTTTTAACATATTTATTTCCTCATGAAGAGCACCCAGAACTAATATAAGCCAAGAAAAATCATCTTTCATTTTTAGTGCACAATGATAAGGTACTCTATCACAAGTAATCACAACCTATTTACATCTACTCTCTTTAACTCCAGACACTTTTTTAATATGTTCAAGCACTTTTCAAACATTAGAAACTGAATTTGGATTAACTTCTATTGGATCAGAAACAAATAATTAAGGTATATGAACCTTATACTCCAGATTTGATTGTGCTTTTTCAAACATATGAGAATCAATAACTAGCAATCTTTCAGCCATATGTGTAATGTTAAGCAACTCATTAAACTGCTAACCCATCTCAGTAACTGTTAGTAATTTATTATGGCATGTTGGGCAAATTCATTTCTTATTATTGATATTAAATATTTGACAAGCTAAGCATTTTTTTGTATATTTCATCTGACTTTAACAACATATCAACTTATCGATTACATTCGTTTCTTGATTTTTTTCGATACAAAGTTTTTCTAAAATAATAATAAAATAATTAGTTAATTCTTTATAATTTTTATTTTTCATACCTGTATTTAAAAAGGATAACTCCTCATATTGTTCTCGGGAGGATTTGGAGAATAACCAAGGAGCTGTATTTTGAATATCATCATTTTGATCATAATTAAAAGCAAAAAAACTCATAACAATATAGAATATAACTGTATTAAATCCATGGTTTAAATAATTCTTCTGACTCTTTTGTTCATTGTCAAATACTAAAAACAAAAAACCGTTCAAAAGTGGTAGCTGTTCTGTAGTTTAACTTTCTAATCAATTAATAAACTTTAAATAATTACCAGAGTATATAATATTATTATTAATGTCAATAACCATTTTTGACCTTGTTAATAAATATTTAATTGCTGATGTGGCCATATTAAAAGCAGATACATATTTTAAATACCTTGATTCATATATAGTATTAACTGTGATGGTACACTTGAACAGTTTTTCTTTTTCAGATTGATGCTTATTTTCATTATGTATAAGAGTTTATATAAATTTGACGATAATTGAATTTCGCTCGGAAAGCTATTTAGAAAGAGATTACCCTAAAAAACTATCTAAACCAAATCACTTTTGATTTTCAATTAAACTTGTTATATCACTGTATATATTACTTAGTTTCTTTTTTGCAATCTCCATTATGAACTTAATGCAATCTTGTTGGTCATCTAACAACTGTCCTCGTAGTATTTCATTTTTTAATAGTAATTGTCTATTAAGGTTCTCCAACTCGTCAATTCTTTTTACAAGCATTTCATATATTGAATTTGGAAAGTATACTTGAGCTCCAAAATCAGAAAAATTTTTTTTGAAGAAATCACACTCATCAGTAAGTATTTCTTTTTTTTTTTTCTATTTCTTTTGTATTTAAAAAACTTAAATTATTCTGTTTAACTAATTGTCCAATAAAACACTTTCTGGTGATAATATGATTGTAGTGTTTTTCACATAAAGAGTAATTATCTAGAGAATCAAACAATAAATCTAATGCAGGAAAATACCTAGCCATTTCTATTAGTTTTTTCATTGCAGCAGTAGCTAATGCATATCTTCATTATTGATTTTTTTTAGTTTCACATTGCATTAATTGGCTATTATAATATTCCTTGGAAAAAGAGCTGAATATACAAGGTAGAGTTTTTGCTTCTAATTTTGAACTCATTATAACAGTTATTGTGTAACAAAGCATAATTTTAAAATGTGAATAGAGAAGAAACTATTTTGCAAAGTTGTATAGATCGCAATGGATTATAAAGCTATAAACTCGTAAAAGTGTATTCTGACTTTTAGTTTTGATTCTTATATAGTATTAGATCAATAAAAGCATTATCAAATTCTTTATATTTAAACCAATCAAATTTCAAGATTCATTTTGAATATTCTAGAATTGATCTACAAATTTCAAAAAACTTTTAACTGTAATATTATATAAATTTTTAGAAAAATATTTTGATTATTTAAAAAAACAAATGAAAAGCAACTTTTTAGTTAAAAATTTTTAAACATTATAAAAAAAATGTCTTACAATTTAAGCGATAAGTTTTAATGTTTTTTGAAACTCACCTATACTCTCTTCATCTTGGTGAAATAGTCTTTCTCTTTTTTTTACAACTTGCAAGACATTCCTAATATGTAAGCTTTTTTTTTCTCTTTATTATTTTTCTTACTCTCTATTTTTTCTTTATAGATATACTACACCTTAGATCCTATAGTCTTTTGAGCTTTCTTTGACATCTTCTTTTCTAGATACTATCAAGCTATGTACTCTTCCTTTTCACAATTATAGCAGACCATGATTTTTTTTTTCTTCTTTTAGTTCCCTTCACAATGTCTTTTTTAAATCAATGTAGTTTAATATTATCTCTTTTAATTATTTTTTGATTTTTCTCATCTTATCTTTTAATCTCTTTGTTATATTTTTGTCTTCTCTCATAGTTTGCTAACTATAATGGTTTTTCACCTCAACTTTTTATGCTGCTAAGATTGCTACTGTCAAGTTTTTTGAAGATATTATATTAACAAACATTGCTATATTATTGTTTAGTCTATTTAAGAACATCTTTATCACATAGTTGTTAGAAATTATCTTATTCAAATCCACCTTCATTAGTAAGCATTTAAACTATATTGTATAATTGTCTATTTTTTTGTTAGCTTGTTGACTTAATTCATTCAATTCTTTCTACCACTTATGGTGTTTTTCTAATGTAACAAAATGTTCTATCAGCATGTGACAAAAACTCTATATCTGGTCCATATTGTTTTTCTATTTCTTGACCTTATCCATATTTTTCTTACACCAGTTGGCTACTAATCCTATCATATATCCAGAGATTATCCTGAAATTTTTGACATCATTTCAGTTATTAATCCCTGTTATTTGCTCAAATTCCTTTAACCATTATACTGGATTATCATTCTCATTTTTGGTAAACATCCTTGCTCTTACATAATCAGCTTTCCTTATGTTGTTCTGTTTGGCAATACCATCTATCAACTGGAAAATATCTCTTATTAATTGTTGAAACTAGTTATCATTTATCTTAATCTTTTAATAACAAGTATATATTATGCTTATTTCTCTATTATTTATTTTACTTTGTTTCTTTTTTTTTATATAAAAAAGAAAACTTTTAATACAACTTTATCATAAATAAACAAAAATAATTAATTAAAATTTCTGATTATGACAAGTATAGAAGTATTGTATTGTATATACTTAAGGTCAGAGATGTTATGTACTTGAAATAAGTTTTCTATATATGAATTATAGTATATAAAGTGTTTGCAAGAAAATATTAAGGGATAGTATATATCACAATGGTGTTTAAATTTCACAGTCACACCAAAAATTGTTATAATGAAATTCTAGCGAGTCAGTTGTTTTGATCTGTCTTATGCCATATAACAATCAATAAGTTTCTATTTAAAAAATGTATGTGAATTTAACCAGAGTTCATAATACTGATATAGATTAATTCATCGATCTGGTATCCTAACTAGTTACTTTACACATAGCAATTCCATTAGCTATGTGATAATAAAATCAGTTACAAAGCAATAGTTTATTAAATAAAGATAGTTTTTATTTAACAATTGTATGTGGGTCTATAGCACAGTGGTTAGTGCTTCACAGTATACATGTTGCTGAAATTCGTAAATCCTTGACGCAATTGACACAATTATTTGACACAATTATTTGAGTCACTATTAAAACATATAAATAATTGAGTCATGACGCAATTATTTTTGAAGATTTGGGAATTGAGTCAACAGTAAAATAATTTATGCTACATGTATATAATAAACTAATATTAATTTAAATAGATGTTTAATATAATGACAATACTATTATTTAGTAAATAAAGTCTTGCATTTTATACTTATTTGCAGTAAAATAAAAAAAAAGAAAATACAAGAATTTAGAATTTTATAATTATAAAAATTGTTATTTTTTTTATAGCTGAGAGAAATTACTGCTTTTTTATAATGTTTTGAAAAAATTTAAAAATATTGATTAATTTTCAAATATATTATTTTTTATATATGTTAATATAAACTTGCAGTTTATTCATTCGCAAACACAAAGAACCTGTCCGGAACCCACGGTCCAGTACCAAATCCTAAAGCAACATTCTGGTTTCTACAT